CAAAACTGTGGACACCTCTCTGTTTCTGTGTCGTGTGCTGTGGAGTGACGAGGCACTATTTACAAGAAGTGGTGTAAACAGTCCACATAACTTGCATGTGTAGACACAGGAGAATCATCGTGATGTTTGTCACTCTTCATTTCAGCGCAGATTTAATGTCAACGATTGGGCCAGAATTGCGGACGACTACATAATCAACCTGCATGTAATACAGGATTGTCTCTGTGGGGCAGAGTACGCCGATCTTGAAACGCTTTCGATTTTATTGAAATATTTGCCTCTACATTTGCGCAAGAGCATCTGGCTTCAACTCGACGGTACTTCTCCGCTTTCTGCACGTCGAGTGCGTAATTGGCTGCACAATATTGGTCTACGTATAAAGATCCGGTCAGGTACTCGAAGGGAAGAAGTCATTTGGAAGACTTACGCTAAGAGAGAAGGATTATACTAAATTTTATACTTAGAAATAGGAAGGAACCGTGTGGTGTGGGTTCATGTGGTTCAGAAACCAATGGTAGGCTGTTGTGAACACGGTAATAAACCTTATGGGTTCCATAAACGGCAAGAAATTTCTTGACCAGCTGAGCGACTATTGATTTTTCAAGATGTACTCTGCTCCATGGAATGTCGAAATACATATTTCCTGTCTTCGTGATGCGATTCCAGAGCCTTCACTGCGAACAACGTTTTCACCTTCCGTGAATTCAGAAACCGAAGTTAAATGTACCTACTTGTCTCTGTGCAATGCCAGATACAGACAATTGACAATCAAATGTCACCACACGCACGCACATTTAGATCTCATGAAATGTAGCGCCGTGTTACATTCAGTCGACAGCTGGATGCTGACACTTTGCATTGACAGCGATCATGTGCATAATCAACCACGAGATCCGTGACGTCAGCCGGCATTGGACGGAGAGCCATCGGCGATTTGTCTCTCTAATTACCCGTATCTAACTCCATGGTTCGGGGCCTCTCTTTGTAAGCTGATACTTGCTCAGGTGGTCAAAAATGTCCAAAACTGTTACAAAAGGTTAACAGTTTCACACACATTGTTCTTTTAAGTCTTAGGTCAATATTATTCGTGACTAGACCTCTCAAGTATTCTACAACCTTCCGTTTCCCGACTATAATTTACATTCCATATCTCGTGCATTCGCGTTATATTTCCGCCCATCTAATCTTTATTAATTAAATTACCTTAATATTTAGTTAAATGGAGACGCTTCTCATTATTTAATTTTTTCCAGGATCCTGAATTTTTTCCCCTCGTAGGTACGTTCATTAGTGGTTTATTTAATGACAGTATCATCTCGTACAGTACCCTATAAAATCAAATGACTATGATTATTCAATAACTGGAGAGGATCGTCATAGCATAATGCGAGGCATTTTCTTGGCATTTGCCTGGAACGGACTGAGGAAAATCATGCAAAGGTTCGGGTAGCTGATGTGTGGGCCTAGATTTGAACTTGCAACGAAGCTGAGTGCTAATTATCTGCGACGTTCTGCGTCTCTTAGGACAGATAATATTCTCAGTACCATATTCTCAAACACCATCAAACTACGTAGAGCCTACGCATATTTTCTTGTGCAATGTTTGCAGTTTGAATAACCCCATTGACCTTGACAAATATTTATTGTCCATAAAAATCTTGTGCCTAGCTTACTGTCTTGTGGTTGCTATATTTTATTACTAAACAAAGGACTTACTTTTTGAACTCCAAATGCTTATTACATTTGTGTACAATTATATTAATTATTTTATCGATTAAACATAGATAAATTATCAAATACGATAATTATTTAAACATAAAAACATTAATTTTCTTCAGTTCCAAAATATTTGCACTCTTTCAGAGCCAGAAACTGGTTTCTCTTTCATTTTTTAAGTCTAAATTTTCGATAAATCCAGGGCCGGATCGTTTATGTTAACCTTGTTGGTCGTGATAGCCCAGCTAACACTTTGAAAAACAAAAAGTAAAATAAGAAATTACTCTTTCTTAATCTCGTGGTTCAGTGGTACTCAGTAGACTGGAATACAGCAGTATCGATGAGACGCTTGTCAGATCCAACCAGCCAGCTGGCTAACAACGTCTGACCTGCTGGATCTTGCTGACGATAAATTTTATCCGATAGGGCCTGATGTGTCCAGTGTATGGAGTACCACTGTGCCACGAAATTAAGACAGAGGACTCTAGCTGGGCTAACACGTTTAAAATAAGAGCTCCGCACCTTGGCAAAAACAAAATATTTTGAAATAATTTTTGTTTATCGTAATAACACCTTATTTTCTCATGCAATAAAACGTTTCTAAGAATATGAAGATTTGATTCAACGTCTATACAAAGCAGGCCCATGCAATTTAGGCAGACGATAGGTATATTTAAGTACAAAAATTTAGTATCTTTGTGTGTTTTAATATAGGTAAATATATCAAATTTTATCTAAATCTTGTCAACATTTTCTACACAGATTATGCGTATGGACAGAAACTACTTTCCCATTATGCGTGCATTTTATACTGTCTATACAAAGAAAGCATACACATTATTTGTCTAATAAGGCACGGTTGGCCCATGCAACAAGTGATTAGAGAAATATCATAAATCAAAGGAGGTGTACCGTAAAGTGATCAGGCAGCATGGGTTCCATAAACGGCAAGAAATTTCTTGACCAGCTGAGCGACTATTGATTTTTCAAGATGTACTCTGCTCCATGGAATGTCGAAATACATATTTCCTGTCTTCGTGATGCGATTCCAGAGCCTTCACTGCGAACAACGTTTTCACCTTCCGTGAATTCAGAAACCGAAGTTAAATGTACCTACTTGTCTCTGTGCAATGCCAGATACAGACAATTGACAATCAAATGTCACCACACGCACGCACATTTAGATCTCATGAAATGTAGCGCCGTGTTACATTCAGTCGACAGCTGGATGCTGACACTTTGCATTGACAGCGATCATGTGCATAATCAACCACGAGATCCGTGACGTCAGCCGGCATTGGACGGAGAGCCATCGGCGATTTGTCTCTCTAATTACCCGTATCTAACTCCATGGTTCGGGGCCTCTCTTTGTAAGCTGATACTTGCTCAGGTGGTCAAAAATGTCCAAAACTGTTACAAAAGGTTAACAGTTTCACACACATTGTTCTTTTAAGTCTTAGGTCAATATTATTCGTGACTAGACCTCTCAAGTATTCTACAACCTTCCGTTTCCCGACTATAATTTACATTCCATATCTCGTGCATTCGCGTTATATTTCCGCCCATCTAATCTTTATTAATTAAATTACCTTAATATTTAGTTAAATGGAGACGCTTCTCATTATTTAATTTTTTCCAGGATCCTGAATTTTTTCCCCTCGTAGGTACGTTCATTAGTGGTTTATTTAATGACAGTATCATCTCGTACAGTACCCTATAAAATCAAATGACTATGATTATTCAATAACTGGAGAGGATCGTCATAGCATAATGCGAGGCATTTTCTTGGCATTTGCCTGGAACGGACTGAGGAAAATCATGCAAAGGTTCGGGTAGCTGATGTGTGGGCCTAGATTTGAACTTGCAACGAAGCTGAGTGCTAATTATCTGCGACGTTCTGCGTCTCTTAGGACAGATAATATTCTCAGTACCATATTCTCAAACACCATCAAACTACGTAGAGCCTACGCATATTTTCTTGTGCAATGTTTGCAGTTTGAATAACCCCATTGACCTTGACAAATATTTATTGTCCATAAAAATCTTGTGCCTAGCTTACTGTCTTGTGGTTGCTATATTTTATTACTAAACAAAGGACTTACTTTTTGAACTCCAAATGCTTATTACATTTGTGTACAATTATATTAATTATTTTATCGATTAAACATAGATAAATTATCAAATACGATAATTATTTAAACATAAAAACATTAATTTTCTTCAGTTCCAAAATATTTGCACTCTTTCAGAGCCAGAAACTGGTTTCTCTTTCATTTTTTAAGTCTAAATTTTCGATAAATCCAGGGCCGGATCGTTTATGTTAACCTTGTTGGTCGTGATAGCCCAGCTAACACTTTGAAAAACAAAAAGTAAAATAAGAAATTACTCTTTCTTAATCTCGTGGTTCAGTGGTACTCAGTAGACTGGAATACAGCAGTATCGATGAGACGCTTGTCAGATCCAACCAGCCAGCTGGCTAACAACGTCTGACCTGCTGGATCTTGCTGACGATAAATTTTATCCGATAGGGCCTGATGTGTCCAGTGTATGGAGTACCACTGTGCCACGAAATTAAGACAGAGGACTCTAGCTGGGCTAACACGTTTAAAATAAGAGCTCCGCACCTTGGCAAAAACAAAATATTTTGAAATAATTTTTGTTTATCGTAATAACACCTTATTTTCTCATGCAATAAAACGTTTCTAAGAATATGAAGATTTGATTCAACGTCTATACAAAGCAGGCCCATGCAATTTAGGCAGACGATAGGTATATTTAAGTACAAAAATTTAGTATCTTTGTGTGTTTTAATATAGGTAAATATATCAAATTTTATCTAAATCTTGTCAACATTTTCTACACAGATTATGCGTATGGACAGAAACTACTTTCCCATTATGCGTGCATTTTATACTGTCTATACAAAGAAAGCATACACATTATTTGTCTAATAAGGCACGGTTGGCCCATGCAACAAGTGATTAGAGAAATATCATAAATCAAAGGAGGTGTACCGTAAAGTGATCAGGCAGCAAATTTGGTTTTGATTTTTGAAAAGTTGGTATCGTACCAAACGACTGCGTCCGCTTAACAGAATTTTATGGTACATAGTTCTTATAACTTACTAACGATAAGACGGCTGAAGATAATGAATAAGATCTCCCTCCTATTACCACATTATTATCCAATATGTAGAAAAGCAAGTTGATCCAGAATATCGTGGCAAATCGGTGTAATACGGAGTGCAACTGAGGAACACTGACCTAAGTATTTTATTATTACAGAAAGGACTTCTGTCAACAGAACTATAACAACCCGATGTCTGAAGGGAACTCTATATGCCGGAATATCAGCGCCACAGTTCTACTCCCCACATGTGAAGGCTCAGAAGTTCAGTCTGTTAAATTTCAGCAGTACAACGTCTCTTAGTATACCGTAACATATCTGTTCTATTCTTCTGGCAGACCTCTGATTATCTGTGTGATATGAGCTACCATCGAAGAAAATTAAATCGGGGCCAATAATTAACTAAAGATTTCTATGTGAGATGTGAATTTCTAGTGACAGCGAGGATGAATATATCTGTCTTCTGCGATGTTGCGCCATGTGGTCTGGTAAATGTTTACCGACGTTTCACAGGTACTTGCTGCTTCCATCATCAGGGTGATGATTGCCCTGCCAGACTTCACGGCGCAAGGTCCCAGAAGACTAATCTTTTAAACACTCTTTACTTCAGATAGAATCAAGAACTGCTTCGAATTAGTTTCTCATCTTGAAACGTCCTTGATACAGAAACACATGACGAGTCTTTTATACATGTCATGCATATATCATAAACTGCCAACAATTTGAGTGCACAGAGATGTGAAAAAATCAGACGTTTCAAGCGTAGTTACAGAAAATACGGTGAAAACAATGATTTAGCTAATGCAAAATATCAGACATTTCATTTTCAAACCTATCCAACTTTTGTTAAAGATAAATGTACCTATGCCTGGCGCAGTGACTACAGGCTTAAGGCGCGTACGGTATTTTAGACAGATGAACAATGTGATCGAGAGTCGAATCCTGAAAAAATAAGTTATGCCCCGGTATTCTCTGTGCTGTGTAGTCTTGTACTGTTACAGAACGTGGATGACACTATCTGCCATGAAAGTAATCCCACCAAATGTTAAAGGATTTACGATTTCAGAATTAATTCTGAATCAAAATATACCGTGAAGGTAGAAATAATAATAATGGTATCCAGTATACCAGCTTGAGAGATGTTTCTTTCTCCAAGGCAAGGCAGAAGTATACCTATGAGAGAAAAGCCACTGAAGACAGCGTAAAGCAGACAAGATATTTATCTCCGCCAAATTTAAATAGTGTAAACATGGTCTCTTTTTTCCAGATTTCTATAATTTCATATTAACAATACTTCAAAAACAAACAGAAACGTAGCCAAAACAAGTTGTTGACATGCACTAAAATACTGTCTGTCAAACAGCCTAATCGTTGAGAGATTAAAATCCGACGTTTCGGAGACTTTCCGTCTCCAGCATCAGTGATAAATTGTAGAATTACTACTGTTACTCTCAGAGTTGTTTCTTGATACGGAGCCATTATACAAAACATAGTATATTTTATTATTTTAATGTTTTAATTTTAAAACAGGCACTGGACAACGCAGTTCTTTGGCATGATATGACATTCTAATTTTCCAAATTGTTATGTGCATGTATATGTATTCAGACAGATTAATATAAACTTTATTAAAACTGTTACACAGTTTTAATTAAAGGTTATGACATAAATGTGCATATTAATGTTAAACTTAGATTCAAATGTAAACTGAGGTTCACCACGCTTATCAGCATATGACATCGCCATTCGAATTTCATCAGAATATCGCAAGCTAATGCAGCATATGGAAATCCGATAAAAAAATATTACTTTTTTTTCATGTCCAAATTGCATTTCCATATTTGTAAGCAAATTATGGTGCATTGTCATACTAATTGAGTTTCAGTTTCAAAGAGAAAATCAGCTTACCATCAAGAAATAACTAATGCAATATAGGTTCTTTGTAAGCTGATATTTGCCGCCGACATCCGACGGGTTAGGTCATGACATTACCGATGACGTTTTAGCGTTGACCGCTACATTTTCAACAGAATTGTAGATAGTTTGTATTACATTTTTCTCATATAATGTTCGCTGAAAACATGTGATAGCAAGTCAGTTCCCAAATTGTCCTTATTACCGTAGATATTTATTTGTAAAATGTTTTTTTCCTGGAACATAGAAAATTGTAACTACCAAATAAATCTGATATGTATAAAGATAAAAGGTAAAGTTGTCCTTGTGCTTAATTACCACGCCGTAGAAACTTACGGAGGAATGGAGGTAAAGTTCCTCGCAATTTAATCTCGGTACAAGATGGAGGATTGTGGTCAATTCTACGATCCTCTCGCTTTACCTCCGGTACCCACTGGGCAGGAGGTTGAACGAAAGTAGATACAGCAGAATCAAAAAAGAAAGAAAAATTTGTGAACAATAATAATACAGCCCCCAAATTTAAATACAAGAAAAATTTATGTTGAACCCCAATGAAAAATCTTTTCCCAAGTCGGAATTTTCATAGCTTCAAATTGCCTCTACCAGGCTCAGAATATATTAATTAACGTGATTAGGCTTGGTTTGTGTAGCAGCTCTGTAACACATAAAGCGATTTCCGTGTTCAACATGATTCTGTCTTGTCTGTCATCCTATTACCTGAGTGATATACTCTTGGGTAATTTAACGACATTCATACATTGCATGGCTTACATAGGTCCATTAACATGCTCACAAGAACCTATGCTGATTAGATGAGGTTCTCAAGATGTTTCTGTTCTATTCAGTTATAGCGTTGAGTGATATGTTGTTTCTGAAAGAAAATTATGTGGAAGGAAGCGATCTTCGACTGCCTTATGTTGGACCTGCTCTCCAGTTCCCCCATTTAGCATAAGAGGAATAGATAACTAACCGCAGACGATGACTAATCAGATTAAACACCAAAACTTTTAAAAAATCAGAATAATATTTTTGAAGGTTTAGATTTATAAAAGGGAATAAGCTAATAACAGCTGTTATATCACGAAGAATGTTAATACAAATCAACATACAGCAACATAGCTATACCTGTTTCCATAAATTAGATAAATATCATAAGTTATGAAGCAGAGAAACCAGAAGAATTGTGTAATATTTTGAAGCAATTTTAGCACATTCTTTGTTGTCTTAAATTGTACAAAAAGTAACTACCTTAATAAAAAAGCAAAAGGGCAAAATAATTATCGTTTATAATAATACAATTTTAAAACACTGACATCAAGATATCTTTGTAAGAACTAACAGTCAGGTATAGTATATCAACACTACGTATGTTTAAATAGGCTATATGTATGCATATTTACACACAGAGAATACCATTTAGGCCGGAACATGTAGGTGAATATTAAAAAAGAATTCATTACTTTTTGACATAAGTTAAATTCGATGGTTTCGTGTTATGTGCAGTATTAAAATACAACTGTATAATTAACTCAGAATGTACTATCCCAGTATTACCAACGATTATTTGAGGAAAGCATGAAAGACCTCATTCAGTATATTCGAATTCAGAACTTTCCGAGTAGAACTACGAAGCAGTAGTGCCAACCGCACATCTGCGAAGTTCGATCAAACTTTGCTGGAGAGACTTCCTTAAAAAAGAATAGAATGATATTTAATACAAACGTTAATGGCTTTAGTTGAAAAATTGGGTCTAGTAATTTTTTCAGCTGTGATAAATTATGTGTATAACAGTAACTAGAATTTGTGGATCGACTTCAATGTTGCATTATACCAGCAGCGGCTCGAGGACTGTCAGTGCATAAACACTAGTGAAGTCCACACTTGTTAATTTAATCGCTTTATATGCTAAGCACTGCGTAATTATATCTGTAGGTGTCTTTAATTATGTGATGTTACGGTCTGCAAATACGAATCATGTATTATATAGGCAGGTGGATTGCCATTATCCGTTAGCGTTTACTGAGTGTAGCACATCGTCACGATAATTCAGAATCTTTCGACGAAGGGAGACCATGGCCAGAGGTTTCTGAAAACGACTACTGAAAATAAAGAAAATTAAGTGACGAACAACAGAAAAAATTACGTTACGGCGACTCAGCGAGCATTCCTACAATAGTTAGTATTTAAGGACGATTACATAAAGACAATTAAGAGTGTCAGAACAAAAATTTTACCACTTGGGACAGTTGGGCGAAGATCATCATCATCATTAGTGGCTCTACAACGCGGTGAGGGTCTTGGCCGCCTGTACGAAGGTTTCCTAGTTTTGAAGTGTGCATTTGTGACAAAGTGATTAGAGATACTTTTCTTTATTCTGGGAATTGTGTGTTCAGGTTTCTTCCCAGAAATTGGCTTTTCTTACTGAGGTTTCCATGGATTTAACAGTTGCTCCGATCAAATATTGAAATAGTGTCTTAAAATAAGCTACGACCGCTGTCTTGCACATTTTCTTTATTTTAGTATTCACCGTTATTCTATTATTTGAAGCTACATACCTCATGTAGTTGAAATAGCGTTGTTTAACCACCCAAGAATCAACGTGTGTCATCCCCAAAACTATTCAAAGTAGTTTGATTAAACTTGGTATTGGAGGTCTGGACTGTAAGTAGGTTGATGTCATAACGGTTAATGTTAAGGTTATAGAAACAACACGTTGTGGTCAGAACTCATAAAGACTAGTCAGCTTCCCTATTGCTGACTTCCAGAGTTACATGTCTTGTGTTACTGATGTCCTACTTAAACAAAGAAAACTTATTATTAAATTACAATATGTAATTTACCTCATGGCCAAGAGAATGCTGGACTCACGCGCAGATGATGGTACATGATCGAATTATAGCCGAATAAACTATTTAATTTGTTACAAAATGAACATGTATTTCAGACTATTATCATCAATAGTCGTAGTAGTAGTGGTTGCAACAACAGCAGAAGTATCAGTGAACAGTTGCAGTAATAATAGGCCTTGTTTTTTATTTCTACTCAAACTGCTTTCTCTCCTGTAATTCACCATAAGGATACAAGTACCTATGGCGACTTCAGATACAGTTTCTTCCTATGTAATGTCACGTTGCATTGATAATTCAGGCACTTTAAGTTCACGAAATAAAGTTCTGGTGATCCAGCGATTGATTCGTCCGCCATAATTTTCTGTTCTTAGGCTTAAATCCACCACGGCAAGGTCAGCTTCTGGTTTTGATTACTAAACATCGCCTGACATGCCGAAACATTTTCTCGTCCGCACTCCGAGACTTACACATCTTATTTCCAAGTCCGATTTCGAATTGGTACCGTTTTTTCAGTTTTCCCGATAAAATATCTGTGTACATTTATCATTTTTTCTATGGGTACTATGTGTTCCATCAATTCTATCCTTCTTGATCCCTTTTCGTAATATATGTTGAAGTGTGAAAAATACGGGGTTCCTCATAATACAATTTTCTCCTGTCTGTTGTTTTTTATGGGGTCCGCAGTGGCCGCGCGGTCGCTGGGACCGTGGGTTCAAATCCAACTCAAGCCATGGATGTTTGTCCGCGTTTTTCTGTGTTGTGCTGTCCTGTGTATAGATAGAGGCCTTGCGACAGGCCGATCACTCATCCAAGGAGTCCTACCAAAATGTCCATAGATCAAACTAACGATAAGTTGGGAACCGCAGTGCTCAGGCACTTGAAGAACGGGTAGTTCCCAGTATCCCAGTTGTTTTTTATTCCCTGATAGATTCAAATATTCTCTTTAGCACTCTGGTCTCAGACAACCTCAACATAGTTTATTATCTTATAATTTATCCCTGTGTATATGGTAAGATCTCTAGTGTCATTCAGCTTAATTATGGGTAGAATGTAATGTATTTATGCAGGGAAATGTCTACTGCTGATTAATTGTATCAACAGTACATCTAATTCTTCGTAAAAATTACCATGAAGAAAAATGAGAGACAATTAAAAATGCATACATTTCCAAG